TGAGATTGCGACTGACAATATAAAATTTAATTTTTTAATTAAATATCATTTGTATATAACAGTAGCTACAATTAAAAGTTGAGAGAATATTATGGAATTATATTCATACAATATATACAGTGAGTGCAAAAAGTACAGAGAAAATATTTTTTAAAAAAACTTTATTTTTAAAAAGTAAATATTATCCAGCGAGAAATGTGTCATCGAATTGATGTCGAATCGATATAAATTTGATGATTTCAACACCAATTTGATGTCGATGAGACATTTAACGACCATTTCTTGTTGAATAATTAACAATTTATTCATAAAGAATAAAATAGATTGTATGTTTCTTAAAATTATATATACCAAAATGATGTGTATTAATTATACAAAAATACAAAAATAAGCGAAAATTAAAAATTGTATTGTTTGAATGCTCCAAAAATATTCATACAGAAGAAGAGAAATTTAGCTTCTAAAATCAGGAATACATGCGAAGTTCATTTGTTTATGTTAGAACAGAATGTATTCATTGTAAAATTGTAAATTAATGTTTATTTTCTACAAATAAAACTTTTTTTTATAACAATTTCCTTGTATATATATATATACGTGCGTAATAATTCTTTAATTAAAATTATAGATTGCAAATCGTAAGCACATTAAGTGTCTCAGATCAAATCTCGTATTTAACTACAATAAAATTATATTTTTAGATCTAAAAGATATCAATAGAAGACTAGAAGGCACGGATGTGGTGCTGTTTCCATTCTTGCTTAAAATATTAATCCTTTGCTTATGTTTGAAACGTCAAATTCCTGAAAAACATCGATTTTTATTACGTTATAAATATAATATAATATAATATTATAATGACATTAACAGCGTAGTATGATATCCTAAAAACATCGATTGATTATACAGAAACGAGAATGAAATGCCATATAAGAGAAACAGCTTCGCTGTGTCTTTGCATATTCTTCAGCTGCCTCTCGCGGCCAAGGACACATCATGCGGTCATCTTAGTGGTATTATACCGATCCTGCATTGAAAAAAAATGGTTACAATTACCATATTTTAACTATTATTTATAATCATTTTTGGAACAAATATTTATAGTTGAACATTTAAAATTGTAGGGTTCTCGAAATTCAAAGAATGAAAAAGTTGAATGAAGGTAATTAGAGTAATAAATATGGCGTGATAATTAGTGTGTTATTAATAACACTGGCAAAAATGTTTATAACTATATAATTATATAGTATTAATTAGGATTATTACTGCTATATATAATATTAATAATAATAATCATATATATAATTCTCTAGTAACAAAGTTGGCAAAATAATTATAATTATAATTGTTATAATCGTAAAAATGAAATTATTATATATTTATTAAAAATGATTTAAATGACCATAAAATTATAGTAATTTGAATCATTTTTATATATATTTGCTAAAACTATACACATATAACTATAACAAGGTTGCCATAAGCCTAGAAAACCGAGAAAACCGGGAAAAGGGAAATTGAAATTGGTCATGGAAATCGAGAAAAATCATGGAAAAATGTAAAAAAATCTGGAATTTCGAAATTTGCTCACAATTCTCTTAAACTGCTCCTTTTCCAAATAATTGTTATAATTTTTTAAATTATATATGACGTTTACAGTCAAATATGTTCAAAATTTGTGCACTTTAAATGATTTTAATAAAATAATTAAAATTATATTTAATTTGGTATTTTTATTTGTTTCCTCTTTTTCATCATAACTGCATTCTTTTTTTCCAAAACTAATTTATTTTTTGCTGTGACTTCAATTTGCATCCAAAATTGTATGCTACTAAGTTTTTTTTTGCGTTTTTAATAATATAGATTAATTTTCCTACAATCCGTGAGTCTAAATGTTAAAATTTACATATTTTATATTATATTACTCATGGAAAATTTTTTATTTTCATTTGGAAAATCTAGAAAAGAAATTTTATTCAAGAAAATTTATTTTAAGAAATTTATTTTAAGAAATATAGCTCGATTAATGTAAAAAAATGACACAATGTGAACGCTTGGGACTTTGCTACAATTAAAACCTAACCTTGAACTCGAAATTTGGTCATTTTTTCACATTAATCGGGCTATATTTTTTAAGACGTATCGTAGGGTTAAATGAACTATTGCATCGTATTTAGCGATTAAAAAAATATATAGTATCATATTTGAAATCCGGATTAACTAATTTTTGCATCAAATTATACATGTATTAAGAAAAATCGAAACTTTGATTTAAAAATCGTTCACTAGCGACTTCTAAATCTTAATTTTTTTTTAGGTGTTTTTTTGGCATGAAATGAAAACTTTTCAGCTAAGAAGCAGATAAAAAAAATTTTTGTTTTGACAGTATATATATATATATGTATATAAAAGTTATTATTATTAACAGTAGTAATAATAACTATAAAAATAGAGCCTCTAACCATAATTATTTTACTATGCAATTATCACAAATAACAAACATTTTTCTTTCAGTGTATGCTCGAAATTGACGTCACTGGTGCTTTCAAATCGTTGAGGTATTTCATGTACTAGTGACTGCCGTATATCGATATTGGCGTATCAGAATTTTTATTTTTTTATCTGAAAATTCCAACCGATTCCTATGGGGCTCGATAAAAGCGGTGCCCGCATAGTGGCGTCCAAATTCTATTTCCAGGTTCTCGACAAGAGTCGAGACGACGAGAGTCAAAACGATGTGGCGGGCCGCACCGCGTCGCGACGTCGTGTTTCCCGAGTTTCCGGCGCCAGCATCGATGTGCGTGACGCTCGATATTTTAAGTTCCACTCAGGATAGCAGAGCGCTCTCCTCGTGGCTCCTCTCCTCTCTTTTCCCCTCTGTCACCATTTCCGCTTCTACTGTTTTTCTATTTCTTCGACATTGCTTCACTTAATTTATCACTTAATCCTACAAGTTCACATACATGGATTCTCCGGCAGATTTCCTTATATTATTATATTATTATCCTTATACATTTCCTCTACTTTCTATTTTTCTTATTTTATCCGAACACTGAGAGAAAAATTTTTTATATTTATAATTGTAATACATGTTATTATAATTATGATTATTATTGCTATATAAGTAATAATAATTATTAATATAGAAATGATTGCAATTACTATAATTTAATTATAATTTATAATCATGCGTTTGCTGACTTATTTATATACAACACACACACACACAGAGGTTGTTTGAAAAATAATGATAAATCTTTCGCATAGGATCAGAATGGACTAAACTGAGAAGAAAAATTCTCTATTATTTTGCAATTTTCGCAATAGGTAACATATTAATAAACTAAGATATTAATTGCTAAACATTGCCGAAAATTGATCTTCATTAATTTTTTACTCAAAGACTATCAACTTTACAGAAAAACTGCAAGAGAAAAAAATTGTTTTGTTGTATTTTCTTTTCATAGAACTCTATGAATATTTTTAGAATTTTTTATCAATTTTTTAGTACAGCATTTTTCCATTTTTAACAACTTGAGGAAATACGGTATTAAAAAATTCTGCAAAAATTTAAAAAAAAATTCTTAGACCTCTATGAGAAAATAAACAATTTTTGTCTCTTGTAGTTCTTCTGTAAAGTTGATAGTATTTGAATAAAAAATTATTAATACCCAATTTTCAGTAATTTTTAGCAATTAATATCTTGTTAACTATTGCAAAAATTGCAAAATAGTAGAGGACTTTTCTTCTCAGTTTAGTCCATTCTACCTATGTGAAAGATTTATCATTATTTTCCAAACACCCTGTATATAGAATTATATGTATATATACATATAAATAGTTATTATTACTATCATTATAGCGATAATAATCATAATTATAGCAACATATAATTACAGTTACAAATACCAAAAATATTTTTGCTTAGTAAATTATTGAAGTGAGTGCGAGAAACAATATTGTATGGCCTGCTATCATTAAAATTCCTTTTATCACAACCCTTAAGTAACGTATTGTCGTGTTTTTCTACTTCTCTCTTAAATTACGTAACGCGATGTCCAAGGCTGCTGCTTTAAAAGTCTACGAGGCTTTTAACTCTTAAAAGTTGCAAAAAGAGAAGACTTTATAGGAGTAATTATTATCTACTTTATGAATGCCTGTGGATATTATAATAAGATATTTAATTAAGAATTTAATATTTAGCTTGTTTCTTTGGATAAAACATTTGATAATGAACATAAGAAGATGTTATACGGTTTTTTCTTTCTTCTTTTACAATATCGTGCTCTACAGGAAAAATATTTGCACTGAAACATGTAAAAAAAGATTCTATTCTATTTCATTCTATTGTTATTTGAAAAGATTTTCTTCTGGCTATGAGGCGGGATGTGTTGCCACCCGATGTCGACATGAACTCGATCTTCGGCGAAGGCAAACACCTTTCTCCCTGCTCTCTTCTTTCTTCTTTCTTCCCACTTTCTCTCTTTTCTTCGCCTTCCTTCTTCTCGATCTTTGCCAAATCTCGGCTTCGCGTTCGTGCGAGTATCAAACTTCCGCATGACTAGGCTAACGCCTCGAGGCCACAATTTCTTAAGCGATTAAAATGCGAATTTTGCCAACAATGCTTGATTCATAATTTCCATGGGGTTAATCGAGTTACTCATGTCACTTTTTATCTCGTATTCTATTTACGTAGCTTATTAACAAGCGAAAAAATAGGAAAGTAAACAGGTGCCTCTGATAATCAGACGAGAGAAAATACAGTATTAAAGAGAAATTAGAGACTAAACATACTTTGAGTTCAGTTTTTCTTTCTTTTTTTCTTCTCGCTTCCGAAAATTAAGTATCATTTACTTGTCGGCTCGGTTGTTTTTTCAACTCCACAATCTCAATTGATTTTACTCGACGATCTATTATAACAATAACGATGATATCTGAAGAACTAACACTTTCTGATCAACATTATTGATTGACGGATTTTGTCCTATTTTTTGTTTTAGAACTAAATGATGACGTTAAGGCGTTCAACGGGCAAGCATGAGGGAAAGAACACCCTCTGCCGACGACACCCCAAAAAGGGCCCCACCGGCACCCAGCAGAGGTGAGTAAAAATTCTTCTAAAGATGTTATGTAAATTAACATCAAATAATGAATGTCTTTCTAAGATGCTTAGCATCAAAATTATTATAATAAATTGTCAGTTGATATTATCACTCTAATTCATGATTGACGTTTTAGGATAAAAAAAGCCACGCGGTTTGCAGAATTGATACGTACTTAAATAGATTCACTTTAAAACATTTAAGCACTAAGATCCGCTTTGACCAAAAATAGGTTTATTTTTCTTATTTGAAAAAAAAAATTCTTCTGTTACTTTCAGGAAAAAATTATCATTTTGCATGATGTTTGATTTCGCTAGAGTAGTACGGTGATAAAAGACAGCTGATGTATAGGAATGTATGAAATGGAATAAGTATAATTCATGACGACACATTAATAACTATTTAAATCGTGAGGAACCTGCTTTAAGAAAATCTTTTGCAAGAAAGCAGGCGTGAGAGTTGCTCGTTTGTCATTAGTTTAAGGATCGTGCCAAGTCAACAACAGATAATGATGAATTCTTTCGTATACGGCGCCACGCCGAGTGTCATATCTCTACTGTCTCGTATTTCACCGATGCGAGTTTTCGATGCAATTTTAGTGGATTTTTTTCTTGAACATTCTTAGGCTGACCCGATCAAGGATATTACGCTGCAAGTTAAATTAAAGTTTTTCTTGCCTACTGTAATCATCTTGGATTATAACATCAGAAGCAAAAAGAAAATATAAAGAAAATTCTTGCGGATTATATTAAAATATATTTTTTAATAAAACAAAATTTCTAATCAATAGAATAGATTTGTAAAATACCAAAAATTCTCTTTATGTTACGATAATCAATATAACTATATATATTTGAAATAGAATTATGCCTAACCAGAAGACGAACGGTTATCGAATGAGATAAATATGATTTTTTTTATTCCGAAATAAAAGGTTTTAGTTTTAATGGAAAATAATTTTTGGTTATTTCTTATCCTATTAAGAAGGTTCGACTGTTAGACAAAAACCGACTTAAAAACTTAATTTTTTTATATGATATGAAATAAATACTGTACACAAATAATTCCACAATTTGAGCAATATTGATCATATAATTTTCTTGTAATGTTATTCTAAATTGATTATTTTAAGCATATCGTCTTATGGGAGGCGATCATTCCGAAGTAGATAATCACCGATTTAATACACACTCGGCCAACTTAGGACTTTGAAAAACTAGAATTTGACAGATGAAATATCAACAGTTATGCATAAAAAAGAAAATGAATTTAAAGCTTTATTGTCACAGAGTTTACCTTTACCTCACGTATCGCATTAGTAATAACAGACTTGGCAACGTCGCAGTGCGCAGCTAATGTGAAGCCAACTTCATATAATTTAAAATCCATCTTGATGTAAAGAAACAGATATGAAAATGATATACAAAATCGACCTTTATATCGATTCTGAATTTCTCCCTTATTATTCACCATAACTGGTCACTGCTCGTCACATCGCGAAGTGCAACGTTGCCAAGTATACACTCGACCTCTCTAGTCATTGACAATCTCATGCATTTGTTAATATTCTATACACTAATAATTTACTAAAAATATAGCGCAGATAGTATCCACAATTCATTACACTAATATTGCATATGATTTAAAATCGCTGTAATGACAATTTATTTCAGTCACATTTTTTAAGTAATTCGAAAGTAATAGTCGAACCTCCTAAATGCAAATATTTTTTTTATTGAAAAATATTTCTAATATATTTTTAATATATTTTTATATATATTTTGCAAGGATGTTCATTATATGTTTTCTTGTTTCTGATATTATGATTCTAAAGATCCGTGGTAAGAAGTCTTAACAAAATAGAATGGAGTAAATCCTTGCGCATTTATCCTTACGTTAATTATCAATTGAAAAAAAGTTTCCATAAAATTCACAATTCAATCATATCGACCCCCGTGTATTCAGCTATGAACGCAAATATGACTGTCGGATTTATATATATAATAATATAAATAACTTTAATTATATTAAAATTGCTCAAAATGATGTAGATCCATGGCGTTTCTTTAAAAAGATTCGATTTCGATAAAAAACAAAAAAGTATACATAAATTGCAGCCATGCGAACTTACAACACCGAACAATTTTTTATCGCAATGCGTATTGCCGAGTCACGCTATCCTCGATTGCTTGGGAACTGTATACACAGCACGACTTCTTTTGTCCTTTGCAAGTTACAGAAACTCGTTTTCCTAATCAAAACGATGTAGCTACGCTAATCCGCTAATTTCAGTCTCATTATCTTCATTTTTACTTAATCACCTTCGGCGTGGCCGAAGTAAACGGCAGCGACCGTCATCGGAATCGTATGCGCAATACGCGCATATCCTCCTGTCGCGAATCGTCGCGTCACATCCATCGCGACTATCGCGAGAAGTACGGTTGTGCACTGCACTCTCCGTAACTCGTTGCGTTGCGCAACACGACGTCCGTCACATCCACGGACCTGCGGCGGTTGTGTATACAAAACGCACGGGATTTTGAAAGTAGTCACGCTGGTTGAGATCGTAATCGCTGCGAGTCGTTGGCGGCTGCGGTGTCGACGTCACGCCGCAAATAATTATCGGGCCTGGCTTGCGCGCCTCGTGCGGACGCAAACGCGATGCCGCGATGCCACGATGCGGCGTCGCGGCGTCGCGGCGTCGCATCGGCGAATCCCAATGAGCGCCCCGAGCGATGCCACACCGACCGCGATTTCTCGATTAGGATACGTAGAATCCGGTGAAATGTATTCAAGGCGTGATTCGTAAGGCTCTACTTGTTTGATGTGAACTTATGTTTCAAAATGGGCCTTATAAATTGTGGCCGCTACACACTGCTCCCGCTTCCTTTCAGGAACATATTGAGACTTATCACCGTTGAAATACTATGTCTTCTCCTATCTCGGACTACACTGACAATGAGTGTCCGATATGAGGAAAATGTCTCCTGAGAGGACGAATATTTTTCACAGAATTTTTCCGCGAACGATATTCTCCTGGAAGAAAAAATATTCCGTAGAAAATTTTCTTGAGATTTTATTTCTGGAAATTATTCCTAAAATTATTCCCTGATGAAGAAAATTTCCCTGGAAATTGTGTCTGATGTAATTTTTCGCGGAAAGTATTTCATGAGAAGATGGAGAAATTTTTATATAAAAAATGCAAATAAGGGAAATAGAAAGTATTTTACTTTAACTGGATACGTGATGATTGTGATGAATAATACATTGATAAATAATTTTTTTTTATTTATTATTATGTATAATATGTTTCTATGCTAATTTTGTTTAGTTATTTCCAGGATTGGGTAGTAACTAGTTAAAACGTTAAAAGTTATTATAAAAAAAAGTTAAAAGTTAATAATTTTTAATTTAACTTTAGTTAATTTTAAATGCATTAATTTTTAACTTAATTTAGTTACTTTTAAATTTTAATTTATTAATTTTTTTTAAATTAAAAATTTTTCTATCTCTCTTAATGCTAATATTTTTTTCTATAAAATCTTAAACATTAGAGAATTAATTTAGAAAAAGTTCAGTGATTTTATGATTAAAGACTATAAGACTTACTTCATATGATAGCCAGTTTTTATTAGCTCGCTAGATTTTTTGTCAATTCCCGTTGATATTTGAATCATATTAATTTTAGGTGTCGTAAACCTTATATTTCAGCAACATAAATATAAAATGAGTCTTAGAATTATTGTAAAAAGAATTATTGTAAAACAGTGCCGTACATCCATCCATTTTTTAAATTTTTATTTTTTATATTATATTTTTTATAACAAATATCTAGTCAATGTACTCGTAAATATACGTGAGTATTCGTTTCAGAAGTTAAAGAAAATTAAGTAATTTACATGTGAAAAAATTAAAAATTTATCTAATAATCTATATTATAAGTGTTATTTAAAATAATCTCATTTTAAGAAAAATTAGGACATTTTGATCTCAAAATAATTTTTTTTTAAATTAACTTTTTTTTAAACTTGAGTGAATTCAATTTTAACTTAACTTTTATTAAATTAATGTTTTATTCCAACTTTTAACTTAATTTTATTAACATGGTTATTTCATTACAAAGGATTGATTTTAAAGATTGATAAATTATTTCCTTTTTTTATTTGTATACAGGGTGTTCTGCTTTAACTTTGCCAGTCAAAGGTCTCAAAACTTATGAGTTTTAGAAGAAAATTTTTTTAATAAAAGTTGTATTGTTTTATAGTGGAAGCGCAAATAATGGTAAAATTAACTCTCTATTGGCAAGGTGGATTTTTAGGATGTCTAGTAAAGTAGGGTCGACCCAGTGCTCATTTTTCATTTGATTAAATAAATGTATCAAATAAATGAAAAAAGTAAATAATAACATAAACTTTATTCCTTTATTAGTGTTTATTTATAGACAAAAATATAGTTTTATGTATTTATGCTTTATAAATTTATATTTTAAATTAAAAATTAAATAAAAACGCTTTGACTAGTACATAAATAAATTGCTTCAATCTCGAAATATTTTATATACAATTAAAATAACTACAAAGACATTGCACAATAGTCATAAAAAAATATTTAGCTTATTACTTTAGTCTCAAAATAATAAACAAATAGTAAATATCATTATGAAATGTAAAATTTTATCTGAATTTATATCATAAATGCATAAACAAGCTTTGACATAAACAAAAATTGGAGGGATATGTCACCTAAACGATTTCGACCGCTAAGACATGTAGTGAATGAATTGAAAATAGGTTAGCCGAGACCACATAACCGTAAAATAATCAATGCATATGCAATATAAAATAAACTAACGATTTGGGATCCATGGGATCATTTTTATTCGAACTTACCAACGGAGGGTTAAGTTTCACACAAAAATAAATTTTTGAATCCATTATCATTTTTTTAAATGAAATTCTTTAAGTTTTTCACGTAATATGATTTCTCTAATTATTCTATGTAAATTAAGGTAGATTTATCGAAAAATCAATTGTTTATGAGATATTTTATATTTTAGTTTGACATATTTTGACATAAAATATTTCGTCATAGTTCTATAATATATATTAGGTGTTGGAATTAATTCGTAGCGTTTTACAAGTGATGGGAAGTACTTTCATTAATGTATTTTTTAATGCTCATGTGAAATAAATAACATTCTTTCATTAAAAAACGCTACGAATTAATTCCAACACCTAATATATTACTTCTTTTATAATCGTATCTAATATTTTTATTCATAGAATAATTAAATGAATCAATTGATGTAAAAAAAACACATACAACTTTTGTCTGAACTGTTTTCTTCTAAAATTTACGGTTTTTGAGATATTTGACTGACAAAGTGGAATGCCTGCATAATAAGTTTCTGTATTAGTTATTATTTAACTCTTTTATTATTAAGGATAATGGTACAATAATCTTGGATCACTATAATAAAAATATAAATAAATAACTTATGTTACTGCCTCGCGAATTACTTTATTACATAGGTATGTACGTAAAATAATGGCGAAAAAGAATTACTCACTTTAGAGATTAAAATATGATGAAGAGATAAATTGCTCTAGGATAATCGTATTAGGATTTCCCTTGATAATAGGAGCGGTAAATAATACTATTCATTATGAAAATGTAACTTGTTTTATTTATTGACGATGATTTTGAGGCAATATGTCGTAACGGCTCTCAAAGAGAAGAATTCCTTAGAGTTCCTTTAGAATTCCTTAGAATTGTACATTCTTGGTGGGATTAATTCTTTCGCAATTTTAACGATGATAAAGTCCCAACGGATCTATAGGTACCCACTACGCGTTGCACGGAATCATATGAAACGTGAAGGGGAAAGCTCAGAAGACATGGACGAGAAATAAATCGATATCGTGTAAAATGGGGGAGGGGGTGGAGTGGGTATGTATATCGGTATCATTAATAGTTCGCGATAGGTAAACCATTAATTACCGTTATTGTCAACGTCTTTCGCAAAACGAACCGGATGGTCGAAGGGATTGTCGCGGGTATTGCTAAGCCGGCCGGTTTTTACCACCTCGGGGCTGTTGTCAGGGGCTGCGGTTGTATGTCTGCGCGCGTACAAATGCAGGCGCGTATGTGTGCGAGATATACATGTATATCTGTCTCTCTCCCTTTCGTAGAGCACGCTACTCGTACAAACGTAACCCCTTTCGACGTGGCAGAGGGACGGTTATCGATTCTCGCAGCCTCCCTTCTCCCCGACTTCCGGATAAAAAAGTGTCGGCAGAGACACAACCGTGAAGAGCCTTTACCCTCTTTCTCTCTTTCTGATTTTCTCGCGATGGATGGTATCTGTTTTTTCATTTTTTTTTTCTGTATTTTTTAAATTTCTTTTTCAAAAAATAAAATATGCTTTTTTAAATGATGGAAACTGTGAGGGACTATACGGTTCAGTGTGAAGAATCGAGATGTAATCTGTGATTTGTAAAATTTATTTCAAACCTGCAAGTTGTCAACTTATATGACTAAACTAAGTTTTTCTTTTGTGAGTTATAAATTATTTTTTTTTTTATTCTTTTTTGTGAAAAATAATGAAGATTTTCTGGCTGTTATGTTAGGCAATACCAACAACATTATGAAACAATTAAAAACGAAGGATTTAATATTTATTCATTTGTGAAAATTACAAAGTGCAAATAGTTAAAATGTGCGCTGACATTTTTCATTATAGTTGCATTGCAACAATTTTTTACTTTATCGTTGTCACTTAATGCTAATCATAGTTTATTTCATTATTTATATTTTTTTTCATTCCATTTTTTAAAAAAGTTGCATTGATAAGATAAATTCAGGTTAACTAAATTTTTATTTTTATATTTTGGTACGATTATAAAAAAGACAATGAAATAATAATTAAGTTATAATTAACTCGTTTTATCGAGATGCGACCAGAGTGGAGAATCAGTTAAACCAAGATTAATATTAAGCAGCACCGGTGAACAGAGATTTACACGAGATTACGTGAAACTTCGCCAGTCCTAAATAAATAAACAGCCGTCGTACTTCGCTTGTTTCTCAATGGCAACGATTTATCGCCTCGCTGTACGCTGTCCGTTTTTAAACAATTATCTTCGCGATCCAAAAATAAATTACGCGATATCTGTGAGAGGAGACTGAGAACTTTAAAAGGAGGTTCTCGCGTTTGAGTCGTATTTGAATATAAAACAAGTCTATAATACATATGTAGTACGAAGGTTGATTATATCTAAAAAAAATTTCGCTAATTTTTAAAAATATTTAATTCTAAATGTTTAATGTAATTTTACAAGTATACGCAAAATCTTATCTCTTATAGGCATTTTTTCTTAATTTGAAATATTTGCGTATAAGGCAGAAATTTAAAAAATGTTATACAAGTATAGAATAAACACTTCAATCTATTTTAGTAAAGTTTTTGTCTAAATTAACCGTGCATAATTTGAAAGAAATTTATATTTTTCGATGAAGAAAATCATGAATATTTGTCAAATGGACGACGCGTATATATAGAGTTATGCGTATTATATTAAATCTACCAATAGCAACTTTTAAATTTGTATCATATAATTGCGCGATGTTACATTATCTCTATCTCTATTATTTGCATATTTTGCCGTATTCACTAATTTGAGAGCAAGACATGTATATAAACTCAATGATATATAACCTCAAGCATATTGATCAAACCTATCATCGAATAAGCGTTTTATAAATTTTATAATATACTATAATATACTATATAAATTATAATATACTATAAATAAGCGTTTTCGTTAATTTAAAATATTTAATAACAGAGAACAGGTTGAAGTTATACGAGTAAATGCAAAAATTACTTATTGAATGTAATTTTACTATATATAGGAAAAAGTTGTTCGTTTTAGCATAAAAAACAACTTCTGCCTTTAGCAAAATTGCGTCCGATAAGTAGTTTTTGTAGGAGAGCAGGTTAACAAATAAGTGCAAAAATTATTTATCGGATGCAACTTTGTTAAAGAAAAAAGTTGTTTGTTTTAGCATAAAGTGTCACGTCTTGTATTTCGCGGGCGCGAATTTTGAAACATCCTATATAAAGAAATGGTTGATAAGGTTTTTATATTATTACTTTAATCATTTGTTAACATTTTTACAATTTAAAAAATTTTAACTTATCTATTGATCAGGAAGTAGCGCGAGAACCTCCTTAAACAAATTCCCTGATTCCCTAATCGAACAAATTTATACTTGTATCACTTCAACTTATTGCACCGTGTGCACCAGTTCAGAGAGTGCAAGAAAAAAAAACATCTATTCTTCAATGATCAAAAGTGCAAGATGCTAAATATTTCGCAATAATTGAAAGTTCGACAGGAAGCATTACGTAAACAGCGACTATTATAAAGAAAATCTTTTTTAGAGGCGGCTTCGGCGGACCTAACTGGTAGCGAGACACCGAACGACGATACGATTGAGGGTTATCACACGGCGAAGTTGTCCGGCATCCCTTCGGCATCCGGTTTGACTACGTCGTCCGATAGGATGGTAGCGTCGACGCAAAGCCTGGAGGATCTGGGCGTCAACCATCCTGCCAACGCGGCAGGGAGCAACGCCGATCGTCAGCAGCATCAACAGCAACAACAGCATCTGCAGGAACGCTACGGTCATGCCTACAGATCATCGGCGCAGACTGCCCAGGACAAGCGATCGCGGCTGAGCAACGTAATCAACAACCTGCGCAAAAAGGTGCCAGATGGAGCAGCCAGCGGAAACTCGGACTCGCCGAGGAAGGAAGAGGACGATCGGAATAGCGTCGAGAGAAACCTGGAAACTCTGGAGAAATATGTGATGACGGTGCTGAATGGCGTGATCAAGGACAACGAGGAGGAAGACAAGAATATAGAGAAAATGAAAGAGCTGGAAAGGCAGAGGAAAAGTACTGATGAAGAGGAAGAAGAAGAAGAGGAAGAGGAAGAAGATCCAACAGATATGGCAGTCAAGTCTGAGCCTTCAAGCGAAGGTGATATCGAAGCAGCTGTTGTGCCGCGGTTAGAGGACTCTTCGACGGTCAAAAATACCGAAGACGCTGAATTCTTGGAGATTATAGACTGCTTGAGTACAAAAGAAATGACAGAAGAGAGTTTACAAGATTCGGAGGACAGAATTAGTCAAGATTCAAAGGAATCACCTTCGAGGATAGAGGAAGAAGATCTAGACGTTGAGCAGAAAGAATCATCCGAAGATGATCGAAGCGTTTCGAGAGAGAAGGAGAGTCGAACACTAAGCACAATTATAATGGACAGATTGAGTGAGCATCAGGTCGAGGAAAGAGCGAATGTTGATGATGGCAGAGGAAACCGAATGCGTGATGAATATGCAATCTCAAAAGATACCACGGTGCGAACGATTTGCGGTGAATTGCTAGACGATCTGTTGAGCGATGTCTATCGCATTGTCGACGATCATGAGAACCAGCAAAAGACCGAAGAATATCAGAAATCGAAGAAGACTGACGCGACCGAATCGAGGGTGGAGGAGACCAAAGATTCAAGTATCAGCGTTCAGGAGTTGTCCATGACGGGCCTGCATTGCAGTCTACCCTTGGATAAAGTCGCGTCCGTGCTTCAAAACTGTCAGACGAGCGAATCGGTAACCTCACGACTCTCTTCAGGATCGTCCTCGAGTCCTCCGTCGGTCCAGAAGTCGAAACCGTCGTCCAGTACTCCACCGGTCAGAGTCCTCTGTCTTTACTGCGACAGGAAGTTCCTGTCCATGTCCCGACGACAGCGACATATGGAGAAAGCACATCAGCTCAGCGGTGGCAGGAGATCGGAGAGGAATCTCCGAAAACCCTCCCAGAACTGCCAGTACTGCTCTGAGAAATCTGCCGATACCCTGGAGGCGTTATTCCAACACATGGTCGCTAGTCACGGAGACAAGTATCACGCGTGCGTCCAATGTTTGACGAGGTATCTCACCCGGGAAGCTTTGGTGGGACACATAAGCGAGACGCACGGGGGAAATGCCGAGAGAATCAGTCAGGTTCAGGTAAATGTCGCGAAAAATCGATGAACGATGTGAATGCTGTTTCTTGTGTCTTAGAATAGAATATAGAACTTTAATGTTTTGTTCGATATTTTATTGGATGTTAAAAATTATTAAATCTATGAAAATTTGTTGATCTTTCATTCTTGTTTATTATATACTTATTATTATATTATATTTCTGTGTGTGTATGTGTGTGCGTGTAGAAATACACACACACACACACATATTGTATATATATATATATATATATATATACTCATATTATTCTACTATTGAATATCCACTCAATTAATTCTTTTAAAATTCTTTCGACTCTTTTTTGATTCTATACATAGTTATTCTATTTATAATCGCGATATTTTTTAGTTTTTTAGTAAATCTATATCGTTAAATCTTTAATAACTTTGATATTTAATAACTTTGAGTGAAGGAATGTTATTTCACTATAATAGAAACAAGAATCAAAAATAATAACAAATTCCAAGGTAACTGAGTAATAACTCGTGACATTTCATTCCTTGAAGGACGAAGAAATTCAAAGTGAGAAGAACAAAAATATTTTCAGAAATTGACACGTGAATACGTTTTACTTCTAATTCGATTCGAAAAGATTTCTATCTTGAAGATACTATTAAGCTATTATTAGACAAGCACATCTTTGTTCTTCCAGCCGGAGAAAATCAAAGAAGGATCGCCCCCCTGCAGAGATTTTTGTAGTCAAAATCTACGTGAGAAAATGAACGTGTCAGTTAAAGAGAGAAGATCTGAAGAAAAGGAATCGGAGGATCAAGATGACAATCGACGGTTGGACAGAACGAAACTTATTGCGACGCGAGAACCCATCGATAATCCGGCCAGTCCTGAGTTTGACAGTTCATTTTACAGTAATGTGAGCTGCAACATTCGTGAGAACCTGCTGCACCATCTGGATGGCAAGCTGCAGATAAGCGGTGCGTCATCCTCGACGTGCACACCACCGATTGCTACCTCAAACTCGACGGCGACGACGACGGAATCAAAATCGCCGCAACAACAATCGCAACATACATATTACGAGCACAACGTCAATCAAATCCAATTTCCCATCGATATCTCACTGACCGCGGCGACTCCGGTTTACAGTAAAGACTATTCGGTCAGCGAAGAGTACGAAAACTCGAGTGAATATGCCCGGAAAGCCGGTAAAATGAGCAGCGGTTCACGACCGCGTCGAGTCTCTTTCGAGAAGTATAATTTCCCGCGAAAGTACGACGGCAGGGAACAGTGGACGTGCTCGATCAAGGATCTCAGCAAGTTTGACATCTCCACGCAGCTGACACTTCGAAAGAAGCAACAGCTTATTAAGGAGCGTCTCGCTGGAAGCAGACTACATCAGACTCAGTTGCTATCCTGTGAAATCACTGAAGTATCTCTTCGCGATCAGAATCAGACTGAGCTTGCCATCGAAATGGCAGTGAGAGATCAGAATAACGCTGGTGATACCGATTGTGTGGTCGATACAGGTGCCGCGACTCTCGATGTCCATTGCGATGTTGGCGAACTGCTTCCAAATGAAATTAAGGAGGAACCGATTAAGGAAGAACCCGAGTCATCCGTGACTTCGACGTCGACGATTATTACGGAATTCAGTGTTGAATTCGCAGATTTTATGAGACTGAGAAGGCGCGAGGAAAGCGACAATGAAGTCACTAATGCTCAGGGAATCGTTTATGCTGAACTGAGCGGCGAATGGTCACGAATGCGGATCTACATCTGTGGCGCTTGTGGTTCCAGACATGTAAATATATAGCTTCTACATTATATACATTTTCTTTATAATATCATATTCTGTTAAAAACAAATTTAATAAGGGATATCATTAACAAAATTAATCAATTAAATTGTTGATAATTGCAATAATTTAAATCTTGGCATTTATTTTTTCGAAAGACATGATTGTTTCTTATCCATTTCTTATCCTCTCAGTGTTTTATTTCTTATAATCGAAATATCAGCATTAGATTACTTGATTAGTGCTTATCCGTTACAATATTATCAAAGGTGCAAAGATGCTAATATGGCTCTATAATTGATTTATGTCATCTTAAAATATTATCTAAGATTATCTTAAATATACAAACCGACTAAATACTACCGGCTTAAAATCTTTATTACGAAAAATTCTTTTATGGAGTGATTTAATAAATATAAGATTTCTATTTCAATATCTTAAGTGAATAAACAAGACGTTTAATTGTATAATTTTGATATTTCAAATTTATTAATTGAATTTAATATAGAACTTTATGATTTTTTAAACAAGAAAATATCACAATTTTCAAATATATAACGATATATGAACAATAGATGAAAAAAACTGTGAATTATAAAAGATATCCGGCAAGTTTTTATATACGATTTTAAATATTACTGTCGTATTGCAAATGGTGCATTTTCATTAGTATGGACGTGGTCTAGATAATTTATCAAGCAACGTACTTGATCTTTGACATTCGTGCGATACACATACAAACCGGATAGTAAGCGTTCGCAGTGAGTCTTCTAAATCACGGATTCAATTTTGTCTCTCTACGATGGTTTATTCTTTCCCGTATACAAAGCGAATAATTTATATCTAATGAAATATCTATAATGCTCTGAATCAGAATAAAACTCCATTACCATTTTCAGTAGTAACATAAAATCAGCAGTACTATAAGTACATCAACAGTATCATAAAATCAGCAATAATATAAAAATAGCTTATGTATATGCTGTATTATCGAAATATCGAAGGAATCCATATAATACCTACATCTTCTATGTTGTTAGCGCGTTAATCAGATTTACAAGAATTGAAATATTATGTATTCAATATCGATTGAGAAACGAAACACCAAGCAGAGATGCGACTTGAACCGTCGATATTTTTGTGCAGGTAACACTAAAGGAGATGGAGGATCACAAAGCTTCCACGCATCCACGTGTCCTGTGCTCGCACTTCGACCTGGCCGGCGATCAACGCGAGCACTACAAGCATCTGTATCTACCGGGACGAGATGCGCCTACTGATGCTGCACGTAACGACTCTCTCGAGGAGATGGTATGCACCAAATGCGCTAAGAGTTGCCCAAACATGGGTGAATTGCATCGCCATATGCTGGAGTGTGGAGGTGATCAGGCTTGGTTGCTCGGCCTCACCGGTAGTGGCAAGAAGAAGTGCAAGTGGCGGCCGTTCGGTAGCCGCAGCCGTCGACGGCGTCAGCGCGGCATGAAGAGAAACATACAGAACTCGCAGACGCAGCCGCAACCACGGATTATCAACACGGAGAAACCCAAAGAGAAACAAGCACCGACTGGCCCTAGAGTTCGCCCGAGTGACCGTAAGAATGAAATTCGCTCTTTTAGAACGAAAATGCTTTATGTGAAGTCAATCTAGTTTTTTCATATTGTTCCTTATCTTGCATACTTTATGTAACAGGTTCGAATAAACGAATAAACAAATAAGTACAAGAAACGAATCAAAGATATAAAAAGAAATGTATATATATGTATATGTATCTATATATTTATATAAATTGACAAACAGATGATGATGTGCTTTTTATGGAGTAAATTCTCTTCTAACACAGAGACATAATTACATGAATTACAAATTAAAAAGTATTGACGCACGGTATATGTGATATATATATTCTTCGTCTATGATCTTTAAATTTCATTGCTCAGAAGAAGAACTTATTACAATTTAAATGAACTTATTACAATTTACTAAGATTTAATTATCTTAAATATTAAACGAAAATTACAAGAGGTTGCAATATATACATAGCTTCATGACTGATCGCTCGAATACTTTTTCAGGCGAAAGTATTCAGAAAATGCTAGCTAATCTGCCGGCTAAAAGAGCCACAAGGAAGGTTTTGCAAGACAACATGATGCGATCGCAGGGCCGACTTCGTAACGTAAGTAATTTAATAGCGCATAACAATATCTATCTTCACCTCAATAATATACTCAATCAAAATTGGATCGATATTAGAATCATAAAGGCAATAGAATCATAATAGCCGACTAATTTAAGAATGTTGACAACATAATATCTAATGTTAATGGGCTTTTCTATGTAAAGATTTTATAATAATATAATTAGATATTATTCTTCCGATGAAACTATTTCGTCAGAATATGAAAGTCATATTATGTCATATCATACAATATCAAAATTAAAATTGTTCAATGAAAAGCTGCTTGAAACATCTTTCTTGATCGTTAATAATTAGTTTCAATTACATTTCAATTTGTATTATTCGAGAAAATCATACAATTCCTTATAATTTCCTACTGGCAAAAAATTAATATAAACGGGGCATAATAAATGAGACTGATTGAAATCGTAGATATAGTTTAACGTAATTTTGTGACAACGTAATTTATGAAGACAAATTACGTAAGTAATGAAACATTGTACCGCCGGTCAATCTGAGTAACGCAAATATGCTAAATAATTATGAAAAATTTGAGATTCGTCAAAATAATGATAGAACGTTATTGCCTTGCGCGCTTCGTCGCACACGAGCGAAGGCATCGATTAGTTGACATACGCGCTTGTCGAAGTACACATTCCTATGATCGTGCACGCAGTCGCGCAGGGAAAGCAATTTTTATACTATAACATTGTATTCATTTTATTTTTCTTTCATTAAAAATGCTGCTTTTCTTGCTTTAATACTTTTGTACTTCTATTTCGTACTTCTTTATACAAAGGTAAATTGTAAATAAAAATATAAGATGAAAATGTTATTAGCTTTCTACAGATAAAAGCTTTAAATTTTGTCTTAATAATAATGAAACTGAATTTATCAGCACAAAAGCTGTAGTGGTATCTTTGGATTTTGTTGAAATAGGCGCAAACCAGAACAAGGCCTTGCATAATCGGCGACAACTCGTCCCGAATCTCTCGCAACAAAGCCGCTCTGCGGAATAAACTGCTGAAGAACGCCAAATCGATTCAACGGAATCGCTGTCGAAGTGACAACATCGCCGCGGTAATCGAGAGAGTCGTGAGGAAGTGTCACGAAACTGAAAAAAAATCGGATAATGATGTCGACAAAATCACCGAAACTGAAAACGAGGATAAGAAAGATGCCAAAGAGATGAACGAAGGTTCGTCAAAGGCAACCAGCAAAGCTTCGGATCAGAATGATAGAACTATTCGACCGAGAGTTGGACGACCTAAGATTCTCGGCAAGAAGAGGAATGTGAAAAACCCACAACTTCAAAGCAAAAGTAGCAACAAGCTAGTGAAAGCGATGGGCAAGTTTGCGAAGTTTAAGAATGATATTACATCCGAGACGAAGGGCGAAGGCGAGGAGACATCCTCCCCAAAGAGTATACCAAAGAACGCAAAGACGACGCTGAAAGTAATTGACAAAGATGACGTCAATGCCGATAGTAAAAAGATATCGACGATTTCTGGAATAAAAAATAAAAACAAATTGACGCAAAACATATTGAAGAGAAAACGTCCTGTGGACCCGGTGGCATCCTTCAATGCTTCTATCAAGGCAAAATCACAGTTACGAACGCAGGATGGTAAGTTCGCTCGCAATCCAAACAAGAATTTGCAGGCGAAATCGTCCGAAGAGAAAACAGATAACGGAAAATACAAGACTGCTGACTGGATCGAAATTAAACCCAAGCTGAAAGCGGCGCAGAAGTTGAAAAAGATTGGGATCCAGCTGCCACGAAGAGTCACTCGGCTATCGTCGGATAGCGACAAGATGCCGACTTTGGAACCAGTCGTACAGATCGTTTCCTCCAATGAGGAATATGCCGATAAGTCGGCGAACGATTTACCTATCTTGTCGCCAGTAACGTCGGGTTCTCTTCAGGATCAAAAGGCATCTCGAATTTCCACCAAGTGCATTTTAAAGGAAAAAGAGGAGAATATTGAGGCTAATGCCGATCTCGAGGTTGTCCCTGAAAAAAGAAAAAAGGGACAGAAATCAACGAGAGGAAGAAAACCGAAAGAGGAAACGAAAGACATGGCGAAGCGGAAGAAGACTAATACAGTCGAAGAAAACAAAACTTCCAAAAATAACGTAGTAATATTAAAAGATGATAAAACGAAAGGTAGGAAGAGTTTAAATGCTAATAGTGCGGTCTTAAATGCTAATAGTAGTGAAAATAGCAAGGAAGAAATATCGAAGAAAGAGGCAATTGCCAAAAAAGATTCTAAGCCTAAAAAGGAAGAAGCGACGAAGGAAACTCGAAGCAACTCGAAAACCAGAGTAAACAAGGATTTCGTGAAACTGTCGGACATTCCATTCGAGGTGAAGAAACTACTGTATTCGGCTCAATGTATCCTTGACAAGGACGATCTCTTGAGCACACTAGAGCTCGCATCTAACGACTCAAAACGCAATCTGAGGCAATTGGCACCAAGATCGAAAGTGCTTCAAGTGAATAACAAGAAACCGCGAGAACTCGATGACGAATCAGACGGCTCGAAAGATACGTGTAAAAAGGAGAAGATTGAAGCGATTAAAAAATCATCCAGAAAAAACGCTGAGAAGAAGAGTGACGATAAACTAGCGAAAATGAGTCTAGAGAAGGATTCGACTAGCAACGCGATTACCAATGTAGCGCAAAGTGAAAAAAATCAACAAGGTAAAAGAGACAGAGCAGTGAAAACGAAGGAAATTACGATTGATAATTCCGATATGAAAAGTAAAATCGACGGCAGACAAACGAGAGGATCAGTGAGCGACGTTAAGAGTGAGCCTTCCTTAGAAATTGTAAACGATAGTCTTCGAAAAGGCAGATCTTTGCTGGGAAAACGTCGGAATCGTAACAAATCGCTCGACAAAGATGAAGAAAACAACTTACGCGTGTCCAAAGCGCAGAGTAGCAGCGAAAATGCCTCGTCGAGCGGAAAGGAAGCTGAGAAAGAGCTTGGGGAAGTTATCGATAAAATTTCTAACAAGGAAATTGAAGGTGAGAGCGATAAAAATTCCGATGATCACTTAGATTCGACAGTAGTGAATATCAATTTAAGTCACTTGCAATCGGAGACGAGTAACCTGTCCATTGATAGTGGTAAGGAAAACTCTTTGGAAACATCCGTGAACGTTCACAGTAAACTGAAGGTAGGGAGACCTAAGAAGTCATGGGGCGCGCGTCGCGAGAAATCGTTGAGGAAGAGGTCCTTAAACAATGTCATCGGTATTCTGACGGAGGGCATGAATATCCCTGTCGAGGCGCAGCAGAACGTGCAGGTGCTCACGGTTCAGACTAGTTTGGATAATCCGGATAGGTTGGCGCGGAATGGAAGTGCTCAACAACCAAGCGGTGGTGAGGGCGACGTGATCGTAGTAGACTCAGCATTCAGCGAGCTGCCGGCCCTTCCTAAAAGCGAAGAGAAATCCGCAGAGAACGAAGCTGTTACGGCGACGAGCACAACCGATAACTCTCACGCAGACGATAAAAAGAATGCTTGTCCTGATGAAGCGCAACTTGAAACCGTCTTCGCCGATGGAAAAGTCGACGTATCGTTGACAGTTACAACTGCTAAGGCGTGTTCGCCAACCAATGACATTATCCTCGATCTGTCTAGAAGGAAACCCAAGGGTAAAGGCTCTTTCTTAGAGAAAATTGTGTCGAAGATAGCTAAGCAGAAAGACGCTTTGCTAGAAGGAGAGGTAGGTTCTTTGCTTGACACTGCAGCCGATGAGTTGACTAGCATTCTCGATGAGGTCGGACCCACCTTGACTGATAATACGGAGAGTACAAATTCCGACGAGGCAAACCTTTCAGAGAACGATAAAAGTGTGATAGTTACATCCACTGACAAAGAATTGCCAGTGATTGTCGAACCTGAAATTCAAGCATTGGAAAACGAAAAAATCAATATTGAGAGCGCGGTTTCCAAATGTTCAACGGATTCTTTGGACATGTCAGACAATCTCGAAAAAAACTTGGCAACAAAGGCTGAAATTCAAAGTGAGAATCAACTTAAAGCAGATAATGCTTCAAACGTTGGGATGAAGAATAACGATGACTTGCACAGAAAAGTGAGTTCTATTGAAGAAAATATTGACTCTTGTGAAAATAAATCGATAATAAATAAAGAACCAGTTATTCCAATAACAATTTCAAATGAGAATCTTGCATCATTAACCGATATTTCAATTTCTTGTTCGTTAATTACACAAAAAGAAAATTTAGAAAAACCTGAAAGAAAGAAAGGAGTTACAAAATCCAGAAGAAAATCCAACAAAAGATCACTGGACGCAAGATCTAGGAAAAATAAGAAAAGATCACTAGAAATCGTCGAAGATTGCACAGAAGAAGATACGCAGAAGGAACTTGAATTGAATGACACGTTTAAGTCTAATGTTGGAAATGAATTTTCAAAGGAAGACGATAGTGTGGAGACTTCAAACACAGATATCGAAAAGTTACTTCAAAATAGTGAAAGCGAAATTATCAAGGACAACTCAAAGTCAACAAATTTAGAAAAGAATCTTACGAAAGCTAATAATGAATCAAATTTAGAAAAATTTACCGATTTTTCAGAAATCACTTGTGAAAATATGAAATTAATGGCGAGCCTTGAGAAATCTCTTGACAAAATAACTTCCGATGAAGATACTGTTACCAATGATCAATCGATAGAATCAATCGAAAAAAGTACTAATTTTTCTTCAGATAAAAGTGTTGAGTGTAAAAAATCTGTAAATAGAAATAAAAAAAAGAATCGAGTTAATTCGAACGGATCTAGGCGTAAATCGAAGAGAAAATTGAAATCTATCTTATCAATAACTCCTTCGATGGATGCTACTATAAACATCCTCCAAACTTCTGTAGACTCTATAGATGAAAGAGAGGAGATACCATCTTCGTCGACCATTGCGAGAGAATCTTTAGAATCAACCGATATACAATCGATAAAAATTGGGACCACTAGCGACTCAGACGTTCCTTTAGAAAACTTCTTGCATTCAGTAGAAATAGTGCCCGAGAAATATAAAGAGACACAAAATATAGACTTAAAAAATTCAAGTCTCGTTAATTCGATATCTTCAAAAACAACAGAGAAACGTGGTGCGAAAAAGAAGTCATTGGCTGAAGAGCATCTGGAACTATCGGAAGACAAGTCTGCTAAAGTTGTTTTGAAACTCAATGATGAATCCAACATCGCTGATACTAACGAGCAATTATCTGTCAGCTTAGAGCATTTCAAAATACCGGAAGTGAAGGATCTACCGCAGAGTGCGAAAAAACGAGGCCCGAAAAAGAAGTCGCAATCCGAGGACGATCGCTGGAACAGCGGAAGCGTTTCCGAAAAGTCTCGAACGAACGAGAAACTCATGGAGATCGGCGAGATATCTAACTCGATCGAAGAGAAAGTCGAAGAACAAGAAGAAATAGAGAAATGTGTTATTGGAGAAGAATCGAGTACGAAGAAGCTCGGAAGATCGAGTTCTTCAGGGTCGATCGGTCTCGCTCCATCTTTACCCAAGACAAGATCTATGTTCAAGAGAAAAACACAACTGTCTAATGAAGACCTTGCTGATTCCAGCATTCGAAATCAGAGTGCCGAAAGCATGGATGATTTGTCCGAGAGCTCGTGTGTCAGCGAGTCCAGCTACTTTAGGAAGAAGCGATTCGCGAAGAAAAAGAAAAAAGAGGAGACAGTTGACAGCACCCGAGCCGATGCTTTTCTCATAGATTCGACAGCCTTAAAAAGCAGTAAGCAAAATCCGAAAAGGAAAACCAAATCATTACTCGATGAGCACCTTAATTTGTCTGACATGGATGACATTGACATTCCAATGGACATCCAAGCTTCATTAGAAAATACGGAAGCCTTGGAAAAGATTGAACGAGAGTTTGCACTCACTGAAAAATCTTTGGATTCACAAAACGAAGACACAGACAAACCAACGGATGATACAGAGAACAAAGATTCGCACGTCACTTTAGAACCAACACCTAATAATTATGATTTTTCGGATAATCCGGTTACCCCGAAGAAACGCGCGGGAGGCAATTTTGTGGTGGTGCACACAAAAACCGGTGAGATTTTGATTGTGGAGAAGAAGAAGAAGCTAACGAAGGAGGCGGCGAAATTTTTCTGTGACGTATGCTCTACAAGCTTCACTCGCAAGAGTTCTCTAAAGAAACATACGTTGTCACAGTCGCATTTATCACAGTTGACAAAATCCACCAAAGACAAAGTCGAGCCTGTTAACAGCAATACGTTCGAGAATACTGAAGAGGACGACAACGAATGGAAGAATAATTCAGAAAATGATCAACAAACGAAAAACATTCTAGAAGACACTCGATCTCATGAAACCGATCAGAAGTCTTTGGAGCTAGACGAGAGCTTTGTTCCTTACACAAATAGTACTGAATTAACGAAATCTCTTGTGGATCTCGGAACGAGGCAGATGTTGGAAGATAAACTGCTGGACGAAGAGATTTGCAAGATTACTGAAAACATGAGCCATGACGAATACGTTTTGACTGATCAAGTGACACCGGAAGATCCAATGTTGTCATCAACGCCGATCAAAGCCGTCCAAAAAAATCAGGAGGATTCAGGACGAGGCAAAAACAGTGACAAGAAACGGAATAAGTCGAAGAAAAGGAATCTGGCAGAAGAACATTTGCTCTTGGATTCTCCTAAATTAGAAAATTCTAAAATTGATTCGGACGAAGTTGCGAAACCAACCAATGATATCATGCGAATTTCCTCGCCATCTTGTGATCATTCTTCGACAAAGGAAATAATGGAAACGGTAGAAAAAATCGAAGATATTTCTAAAGAATGTGTAGATAACGTTAAAACGAAAAATCGATCAGAATTAATTGTTACATCTTTGAATGAAGAAACAACTTTGAAATCAATATGTGATATTGAAGGGAAAACTGATCAGCAAACAGAATCCACGAAGACTACGAAGAAAACGCTAAAAAAAGTCTCTAAAGTTTATAACGAGGAAAAAGAAGAGATTTCAGATTTAACTGAGACAAATCGTTTTAGTCTAAGACCCAGAAGAAGTAAAAATATTCAGCATTATGAGGAATCTGATATTGAAGTTGATATATATTTTATGGATACTTCCATGGAGATTAACAGTGATGAGATAGAAGACAGCCGTGATGCGCAAAAGAAACAGAACGAAGTAGAAGAAGAAACCAACAGAGATACACTACAGGATAGCTGCACTGACGATAAGAGTTCCCAGGACATAGAAGTCGCAAAATCGAAGACAGACTCAACGAACGGTACTAAGAAAAAGAAACGTGGAAGACCGAGGCTTAAAAATCGAATTATTTCGAATCCCAGTAACGCTTCAGCTCCCACAAACCTCGAAGTTAACGGAAATGATTCTGTCGCTACGACTAATCTTGATGAATCAAAAGATGAGGATCAAAAATTAAATTTGGATACCAAAGAGCGTTTTGACAAAACCAACAAACCGTCATATATTGATGCAAATGCCCAACCTCCTAAACGAAGTCGGGGCAGACCCAGAAAAAATCCTGTATCCATTACAAATAATTCTTCAGTACAAGCAGATAATTCGAGTGCTTCCGAATCGACGAAATCAAATTATGATGAAACGAAAGAAAAGGCAGACGTGATTGAATCATGTTCCAAAATGATTGTCGAAGAAATCACGTCGATCAGTTCTTTGATACCGAATGCGGAGTCTTCATCTGCCGTTCAAGATCATATTTCAGAATCAAATTTATCGGAAACGAAAAAAGATTTATTAAATACTGAAAATGTTCAAAACCTCGAGCTAAACATTTCCAAAGATCGATTGGCGCAGACAATAGAATCTACGAATATTGCGATAGACGACACCGTACTCTGGAATTGCGAGAATGTGCTTACCTCTAACATTCCATCAGAAAAAGTCGAAATATTGATGCCATCAGAAACAAACACACATATTGACGATATAAAATGTGTGCTAGAAGACAAACAAAATGATACGAATGTGAATGTTTTAGCACTAACGACCAAATCATCAATTGAACTTCCACCACAAATTACCGAACAGATATCGATTGATGATTTGAAATCGGCTGAATCAAAAACAATTGAATTCGACAACAATGAAAGCTTCGAAATTCCAAAATCAACAGACATTTTAAAAGAGAAACAAATAAAGTCAAGAGAGGAACTTCCCGAAGAAGAAGTTCCCAAAGCAAAAATTTTGTCATCAGAAGATGAGGATAAAGCGTTAGCCGAAGACAATAAATCTCTTCTCATCGCAAATTTCCATGAATCTCAGAAGGTAATAAATGATTCTGGGAATGATAGCACTTACGATGAAAAGACGATTCGATTGGAATCTACCAAGAAATTATCCAGAAAGTCAACGAGTAAGGAACGAGAAACTGATCGTAAAAGATTAAAAACATCCAAGGATAAAAAGAAAAAAATCAAAGTCGCTGAACTGTCGAGTGACAGCGAGAACGAGGATGACAGACTCGAATCTGCTGCTTCGAGTAAGAGTAAAATTGTGAAGAGTGTGTTCGGCCGAGTGTTTGGTGGCGAGAAAGCGGACAAGGTGAAGGAAGTATTGAATGATTGGGTATCACGGTCAGAAGATGACTCAGATATATCTAGAAGTGCTTTGGATGCTAGATCCTATCTGCGTGGATTGACAAAGTTCTCCGAGAATGGACACAAGAAAGAAAAGAAATGCCACTTTGGCTCTGAAACAAAGAAGGATACTGAGCGATTATCCAAAAAGAAAGGAAATGAGAAGTGCAGCAGTGAGGTTCACGGGAAAGCGAAGAATCGAAAGAAGCGAGAGAAGGATATCGAATCGATACCTGACGATCGTATCGGCTCACCTATCAATCCGGTCAAACGAAGATATAGAGAGAGCAAGATCAGAGCGGACGAGAAGATTCTAAGAGCTTTCAATGATGAGTTATTAACGATTTCGGATGAAGATAACAAAATTAAGGAAATGAGCAATCAGATTAATAATGAATTGAACGATAAAGATAAGGAAACAAGGAGACACTATGAAAAAGACTTGAATAAGGAACGAACGAAAAATAAGAATTTGATCTCTGAGAATTGGGAGAGTCTTCGAATCGAACGCAACACTCATGGAAAATCGAAAAATAGTTCCAGTCATCGTAAGAAACAAGATGCTAAGGAGCGTTCTTTGTCACCATCGCAATCCGAATCCAAATACAGGTGGAGGGAGAGCAAGACCAAAGCCGGCGAGAGGATCTGGAGAGCCTTTGACAATGAGATTTCATCGTGCCTTTCCGACGATCAGAATCTTAATGAATTTCACGGAATTTCTAAGGAGCAACAGATTGAGTTCTATGAATCTGAAGACCCGAATTGTTCAGATAATTCGAAGAGTGTCAAACAAAAAGATGACGATGCTTGGAAAAACATCAGTTCGATAGATCACGAACAGAGTGTAGTGCACAGTGGACGCGGGAGATCCAGAAAAAATTCGAACAGTCGCAAGAAACAAGATTTCAATCTGATTAAAATAAGTAAGACAAAAACGGACAAAAAGATTTTAAGGGATTACGAGTCATCGATTCCTTCGAGAAATCGAGAAACGAAGAGCGAAATGCAAAACGATCAAACGATACTATCAACAAGTGAATCGAGGAATCGATCGAAAACTTTGACCAAAGATAACTCTTATGAGTTCTACGGCGATTCAGTTGTTTCGGAGCATGTGAATAAAGACCAAGATAATTTGCTGATACATTTGGATCGGTCAATAAGTTCTAGGAAAAACAAAAAAAGGATCAATGAAGATTGGAAACATTCAGTGAGGAACCTAAAATTTGATCTGGACGATGATCAGCCGACCGAGAAGGAAATTGGACACAAGGAAGAGGATACAATATCATCGCGTAGTTGCAGCAGTTTAGCAGTCGAAGAACCAATAAGGAAGAATCAATTGGTCGATCTTGATGGAAGTTCTCAGATGAATCGAAAGTCTGATGACAATGATAACGTCAATGAGGAGGACAACGAGGAAGATGACAGTGATCTCGAGCAACGAAGAATGTCACCATTTTACGCTCGCGAGACTTCCGATAACTCCATAGAAAGCAGTTCCGAGGAAGAGGAGGAAGAAGAGGATGGCGAGGAAGAGGAAGAAGAGGAGGAACGCGTAATGTACGAGGATAATTCCAGAAAGACAAATCCTAGCGAATTCTCTGGGGAGAAGATCATAATCAGGTCGCCATCTTCGGGTCATAGATCGGATGTGGTAACGATTGCACCCACAGACGCGATGGAGGACAATGCTTTAGATGTACCAAGAGAGATCGAGTCAACGACGGAACCGCGGCAAGGCAAAATTCTTAATTTCGATGAGGAGCTCTTCGTGGAATGTTGCTCGAGATTGAAAGCTACGAGTGAGAACGAGTTGAGAGGTGCGAAGAAGATTAAGCTCGATCACACGGAATCATATCACAGGCGAGATGATCAATCGCAAGGATTCAGAGTCAATAGAGATCGATGGAGAGACGTGGAGAGTCAAAATAGTCTCGGTAGTCTTCTGGAGTCAGTGAATCAAGTGAGTATTATACATTAGATATTTTTCTGCTTGGATAACTTATTAATATATAATTAATGAATCGTTAATAAGTTAGTTATTTTGTACACAAGGCAAATGTAATATTGTTTATCTAATTCGTTTAGTGTGTGAATTAAATAAATATAAATCTTTTAATGATAAATTGATCAACGATAAATTATGAAATTATTTAAAATTATGATTATATACTTATTTAATAAATTAAGTAAAATCTTTTGCTATTTTTAAATTGATATTTTTGATTTGATTAATTGATGAACTTTCAGTTCTGAGTAAATAGAGTTATAAATTTTAAATATGCTTTGTATATAATTTACTAAAAATAATTATTTATTATAAATGTATTCTATTATATATAAATATTTAATCTAAAACTTTTATACTAGTCTTTTAAGAATTAAAAACATGATTATAAAGAAAAATAAATACAATGTAAGATATATGTTACTTGGAAATTCTAGCTGCTCGGCGAGGAGATGTACAACAGCCATGATAAAAGTTATCGAACGCGCGGCAGCGAACGATCGAGCAGATCGGCCAGTCCGGATACGTCGCGAATCGACAATCTTGGCTACGAGGACAGTTTGGACGTAGCTTTTGAGCACAATAACAAACTACGAGATAAGATCCAACAGCGCATGAGAGAGAGCGAGAATCTGATAGCTAGTACATTCGGCCAGAAGATCAACGACAACGATCATCCTGACGATGATAAGCGAGATAGCGTTGGGAATTCTTATTCCTCGAGTATTCACGAACATGAACAGCTACCTACGTCGGTCGCGTCGAATAGAGAGTTGGAGTCCTCACCGGGTCACAAAAACAAGATGAATTCGACTTTAGGTGGTTTACATAAGGCACTATCCAACTTGTTGCATAACAACGGCAAACATGATCATAAGTGAGTATCTCGATACACAAATCTATGCATAATATTTATATTGTAAATATTTTTGTTGTATATGGTCGTATAGTGAATAATTTTGAGAAAACAAATTAATATTCTATTAACGTAATAGAAGTGTATTATACAATAATAATGAATTTTTCAGTTGGATGTGGATAAGTTTGATAAGTTTAATGAGGTTTCGAACTCAAGAAAGACGAAGGTTCTCAAATTCATAAGTATTTCATGAAAATAAATTAGCAAAATTATAGCTAGCTGTCGTTTATAAACTTATCAGTCATATCGAATTCTTATTCTTTTGCTAATACAATCTTGATTTGTTTTCTTAACATATTCACAAAAGACTTAATGCATTATTCTATTTTTATGATGCTATATACAGATGTTAATATTTTAATACGTTCCTCTTGAAAATTCCGTCTTGATGTAAAAGCGTAAAAAGATATTCGAGATTAATAGAATGCATGTGACGAGACTTCGATGATTAAAAATATTTTGCAGGATGGCTCACGTATCAAAGCATATTTTTCAGTTTCGCCTCGGTTCGACACCTGTTGATTGCTCGTTTATCTGCTTTGCGTGGCCCATACGTTTTGTTTTCATCCATTTCTTCGATTACGCTAAACTAGATGTAGCGTATGATTGGCGCATACCATATTGGCTAGTCATTTTTTTCTCTGAAAAAGTAATATTTGTGATTGTCTTTCCAGGGACAAAAATCGAGCTTTATCGTACAACGTTCTGTAAACTATAAGTACCGCACAATCCACATCTGGCAAACGTTATACCCTCTTCTTCACTTGGGTTGGATTTATTCGAGCTTGATGCTCGATTTTCACTAAAGATGGTCGAGAGACCATCGTCGAACGATGCTCATTTATTCGTATTGCGTATTGATCCGCTTTCGTCATTCCACTCTGTACGCGATGAACGATCTCTCCCTTAACAGCATCATGTAGCGCTTTGCGATACGTTGAATTTAGTATATAACACAGCGAACACATATGTATCCCGTGTTTATTATCCTTCTAATTTATTTATTATCAAATATATTTTCCCGGAAATTTCTTTTGTTTAAATAAAGGAAAATATACTTGTAAATACTCTTCCCCTATAATTTTCAGAAATGGAATGAAGAGATATTTCCACAATAATATCGATTAATTTAAATTCCATAATTTATATTAATTTCAAAAGAAGAAATTTATTAGAAATAAAAGGTCAAGAAATGATACTCATTATGTACATCATATATAAAATTTATTACAGTAACATATTTGCTTTATGTGGGCTACATGTGAATTAAACAATTTTATATAATTTATTATCGTTAGTGATAAAATTTTTTCCTTCATTAATGTAAAACTTGTATAATAAGTCACCAAGAATGCAGGATCTTTTAATAGATATCATTACAGTCATCCATTTTTATATTTTCTACACAATTAATCACACAATCACACATTTAATAACGAATCTCGCTATCGATGTCCGAATAATCATTTTATTGCTTAATAAAATTGTTATAAAAAGTTATTATAAAAATAAACCTATTTTATTTTGCAGCGGTTCCGCTCCGATGAAACTATTGGCGGAATTGGCTTGCGCTCGAGCTCCGACTTCCACGTTGCCGGAGGATACCACGAACAGTAACAAGAATTATCAATCGGTGAAAATGGTCGCGGCAGCGGTCGCTGCAGCAGCTGCAGCGGCGGCTGCGGTAGTGGACAAGGACATCTCGACTTCCCCTAAGAAGCCAACGAAGGATTCAACGATAACGTTGAAGAATTCGCCAACGAAGAAGACGAGGAACCCTATTAAAGAGCTGTTCGAGCGCAAGAAGGAGATAAACGATAGAAAACAACAGGAACGCTCGAAGGCCGCTTTTGTTGAATTAAACGTGCAGAAACAACGCAAGTCGAAGAAGAGCAAAAAGCAGCAGCAGCGGGAGTTCCCGTTGATCCGTAGAAGCGAACATTATGGCGGCCTAGTAGAGAAGAAGAAACGTCGCGATTCTCTCGATCGAAAAGGAGAGACGGAGAGAATAAAGGATGTGTATGAATTTGATGAGGAGGAGAGTCAAATGGCTCCCACTCTGGGTAGCGTGATGTCTTATAGGAGCCAAATCGACAACAAGAGTTACGACACCAATTGGTCAAGGATAAAGAATACCGATGAGAACTTGGATACTGTCTTGCAGAACGGCAAGACGAATTACATCGCGAACACTAAATTAGACGCTATAATCCATCGTAAATTCCAAGAGTTGGAGAAGTTTGCGCCAAAGACAAAAGGCGCCCTGAAGTCGTTCCAGAGCGAGGACCAGCAACAGCAACAGATTACCGAAGCAGTTACCGGACCAATGGACGAATTTGTGGAAAGGAAGCAACGCATGAAACGATCTATAGAGCAGGGCATCAAATCCGGCAAGATCAAGAAACGAGGTAAAAGCTCGAAGAAACGAGTAAGAAACGCATGGTATGAGAACGATAGCTCGGACGAGTTCAGGACGGCCGCGAAAACAGAAGATGTTGGCGTTGGTATTTCAAAAAGTCAACGTTCATGCTCGAAAGGCAAACAGAATCTCTTTGCGGAGTTATCGACATCATCCGAGAGCGAATACGAACGTGACAATGTCGATTATATGTTCGCGAACGAGCAACGTTCGTTGAAATTGAAGAATTCGAAGAAATCACTTGATGTCGACATCGACATCGATGAGACGGATGATCAACGCATAATCAATGAACCTGAATTCGATAATGAAGATCAAGTAGCAAGCGATTGGAATCAAGCAATGGAAGAAGCACAGGAAGATGCTATGAAGAACAATCATGACGTCGCGAAATCAGAATCGGAAATGTCAGATCATTCTCTGGTGATAGATGAAAGAAAGATGATCGACGAGGCGAGGAACAGCGATGACGACGCGGATAATCAATACGAGAGAACATTTGAGCTGGATGATTTGTATAGGGAAGACAGCTCGGATGAAGAGACAGAAGTTGAGGAGAATGAAGAGCCGATGACCGAAGAAGTGAAGGACAACAGATCTGAAAAGCAAACATTGGATGAAAACGCAACTTTGCAAACGAAACTTACTTCTACGATCACGAAAGACGATTGTGCGTCGGAAATGATTTCTTTGGAAGAAGCCTTGGATTTTCTAGATCGGCATGAGAATCTCGATCCGAAAGCTGAGAATGTATGTGCAAAAAACATCGTCAACGGCACTATGGATGAAACTTCTAACGACAGAATTGTTAATGAGGAAACGGAGAACAAATATCCAAGCCCTACGGAGATGCGAGATGAGAAAGAGGAACCAGATGACGATGTTCCAGCTTTGCCCGAGAAACTATCCAGTAACGAGAAACCACAGAAAGAATCCGATCACAATCTCCCTCTTCATGTATTTCTCAGCAGAAAGGTACAAGAATCAAAGAAGAGAAAGCAACAGCAGTTAGATAAATTACGAGAGGAGCAAGAGAGGATACTTATGGATTTTCAGCCAACCAGAAGACAAAGAAAGTGTGCGATAGGTAAACAAGGTCTGCTAGCGGAAATAAGTAGTTCGGACGAGGAATCGTATGTGAGAGATAACAGCAGGAAAGGTAGTGATCATGACAAGTCACGGAAGAAGAGGGAATCGAAGGAGAAAAGAAAAGAGAGGTACCTCGAAAAAAAACATGAGCAGATGATTGCTAAAGAGCAAAAAGCGATCGAGGAAGAAATTCTGCGAGAGGTTGGCAAGAGAAAAGAAAACTTCGTACAAAACGATAATGTTGCATTGAATACCGATGTCGTGGAAACAGTCGTCTCCGGACAAATTCAGAGGAAAAAACATCAGATGAAGGAGAAACATAAGAAAAGTGGCGATGAGAGTATTGAGGAGAATGCAATGTATATTGATCAGTCTTTCGTTGATAGCTCAGAAGACAATCATAACAAATCAGATCGTGCTTTCTCCACTGCGGAAAGTAACACAGAGAATGACCGTTCATCAACTTCACCAAAACGAAAGAAACTCGCGAAATCGCCAACGAAGTCGAAGAAAGTTTCCAAACCCGAAAACGGAAAGATCTCGCCGAGTAAGAGAAACAAAGAGTCAACCGCGGAGAAATTCAAGAAATCCGCAAGTAACAAGGATTCTAGGGAGCGCAGATCGTCCAGCGGAAAACGCGACTCCGACGATGAGGAACTAAAGACCACCAAGTCATGGAACAAGGTCGAGGAAGGCGTTGGGGTTGCAATCGGTCGACATAAACGCACTGCTGCTCATCAATTATACTATTGGTCCAGTTCAAGCGACGAGGAAGAGGCGCCAGAACCGATTCCGGCACCCGAAGAGGAGGAGGACGATCGGCAGGAACAGCACGGATGGATAGTAGGCGATTCCCACAAGAAAATGATCACAATGCTGGCGATGGAGAAGCAGCTGAAGGAAAAACGACGTAGAAGCGAGGACGACTTCGAGCCTGGTAAGGCGAAGAGTAAGAAGCATAGGAACAGCACCTCTTGATACGTGTTTCATGACTAAAATTCAATCGAACCTGCGCGATAGACGCAATGGGACTACGTTTTTCTGACAACATAAACTGTGAAAGCGAGAAAGTGAAGGTTAGAAGGATCTCCATGTTTGTCTTTAATGAGAATTTATTACGTTCTATATCTTCTACGGTAATTACTTGTGGCAGATCTGTTTAGATAGATAAAAATACAATGGATAAGTGCGATCTACGATCAAAAAAGTATTTGTTGGGTTCGATCTTTTTTCTTTTTTTCTTTGTTAGCGAATGTTGGACTGGACGTGATTCAAGCGTAAAGAAGGAAGAAAGAAGATATAAAATGTACATAATTGCTTGGCGTGTAGAGATTAGAGATTAGACGAGTATCCTCCCTCGTTGCAATCTAAGAATTATATACATGTATAAATATAAATCGAGCTCTTATAAATATTGGATGATATAGACTGAATATGAGAAGTAGCAAAAAGTGAAAAGAGCACTCTTAGACAATACTAGGATGTTTGTAACATTTAGTTGTATGTAGGGAAGTCTCCCACATGTGAAACAGGTGAGATGAAAAAAATGGGGGGGGAATCAGTCACAGTCGCTTATTTAGGAAAGGACAACGTAAAACCGGGTCCAATCGAGTTTAGCGCTTGTATCAGCTTCTTTCGTGATTCGTAAAACGTATTTCTTCATATTACATATTCTTACATGTTCGTACGTATTCTTACATATCGCAGTGAAGTAAGAAAGAAAAACTTCTCACGGGGATAACGTTCGAAGATGAAAATACCGCGTTCAAGGGAGTTTAAATCTTTCGCTAAAGAAAAGGGGTGAATCTTTTTTGACCTTTTGCACGTTATTTTTACGAACTTTCTAGATCTCAAAGCTTATGCATGTGTGGCTATTATGAAACCACGCGAATTCGCGGAAAAACGGATGCTTTATTAATGCATAAAACACGAACATTATTTTTTTTCCTTTCATACTCGCCTCGTGCACATAGAACATAAGTATGTAGATTTTCATATATTACGAAAAAATGTTTTATACATATATACATATATATATATATATATATATATATGCGTATATGTATGTGTGTATAAGCAAGTGACAGAAAAAAATGGTTATAGACTTTAAATGTAAATGTACTGCCATAATCATATGTATGTATGTCATACTATATATTTATGATATATATAATACATATATTATATATATAATATGATATATGTAATATATATATATATGTAATATGAAAGCCTATGCGAAAATAGTAATTAATATTATTTCTGTATAAAGATTTAAAAGAATGAAAAGAATCTTTAGCACAAAACTAGGTGACGACCCAATGTAAATAGAGCATATTTTCAATGCGTCTGGAAAAGTATGTTTTGTAATATAAGGATTGCAAAGAAAAATAAAACTATTCGACAATTCCGTCTTTCTATTTATAAATAAGAAATAGAAGATATGTTTTTAAATTTATATATTTTTGTTGAAGAATATATAATTTCAATTAATTCTAAATAACATTACAATAATCAGAGATTTATGTTAAATTATACTTTATCTCAACAAACGAGAATGGATTGAAATGAATTGAAATGGATTCAGATTTTCAGAAATATTGATTCACAAATGTTAAAATGAATGCTTTTCAATTCTGAATGCATTTTTATTCATTTATAGGAATTGCATGGAGCATATCTCCATGTCTTTCAAAATAAAAATAATATTAACTTTTTCTGTGCACACAACAAACATTATGAATATTGTTCAATTCAAAATTTTGAATAGAAAAAATGCAGTTTTCCAATCCAATTAAATCTAATTGAATTCAAAAAAAGTATTCGCTATTTATATATATATATATATATATAAAATACGCATTCGGAAAAAAAAAATTTCAATCCATTTTAATCTATTCTCGTTTGCTGGGATTGCAATTCAAATTTGATTATTTTTTTTTATGTCTGAGCAGTGTCATTATAAAATATCTCTTTTTAAGACTTCAATTCTTGTATTAATAATGCAATCGTCCTTCAAAAGAAAAGAGCGGTTCACTTGCACACTGCCAATCACAGCGACTTCTGTGTAGGGAGTTTTTTTATTTTATTCTAGCGCTGTGATTGACTTGTGCACAATTGGCTCGTGTGCAATTGCTATACTTTCCGTGTTTTAAGCTTTACGCCATAAGAAATTGACCAACTATCAAATGCGAGAAGAATAATTAATTGTGATTCGTTCATTCTTTATGGCTTAAGGCTTAAAAATCTATTGTAGATCCGGAGTAACATATAATGCCTACTGCACACTGGACGCGATAAGCGATGAGCGACGAGTGATATCCAATAAGAGCTTTGTATCGTCACGTGAGAAAAAGCTTTTAGCTTTTTTTGGATATCGTTCGTCGTTTATCATCCATCGCGTCCAGTGTGAACTAAGCATAAGTCCGGATCTACAATAGGACTGGGTTTTATGCAGTCGTTATGTCTCATAATGGTAGTTACAGATATTTTATAGTAAAAAAAGCTACGAAACTGTTGTTATAAATACGACTACATAACGAATTATTCCGGATCTACAATAGATTTTTAAGCCTTAAATCATAAAAAATGGACGGATCGTAGTCAACTATTCTCCTCGCATTCGACTGTAATTGGTCAATTTCTTATGAGTTAAGGCTTAAAAGACTTATTGTAGATCCGGACTTAGGAGCATTCCACACAAACTTGCACAACCGCATAAACATACGCATAAAGAAAATCATCCAATCATATTTTACGTTTGTCTTTGACAGAAATGTGATTGGATAATTTTCTTTATGCATATGGTTATGGTTATATAGCTATGACAGTTTGTGTGGAATGGCCCTTAGAGAATACAGGGGCAGGATCCATGCTAGAAGTATTACAGGGGCCGTGTTCTCCGATATGCTCTGCCACTATTGAAAATCTATAGTTTACGTTACGTATATTGTAGATTTTCAGTACTGGCAGTAAATTTTGGAATACATCCTTTATATCATAGTTATGTCACAGTATATACTATAGTAACGACAGTTGGCTTGTTTGATGTCGGTGGTCACCCATCACGTAACTATCAGCCATAGTGGATGAGAGTTTTACGGACCGCTGAATTTGAACAGCACCAAGAGACGTTGTAGTATTTCGCTCGTTGTAGTATTTTTTTTTTATATAAAATATTTTTTAAATTTGAATAAATTCTATATATGATTTTAGATATATTATTGTATATATTAATAGGTCTATATTTTGTTTTTAATTTTAATATATTTCTGGAATGAATCAAATGATGAAATTATAAAACATGTGAAACATGATATTTGTAAATCAACAATTTATTGACAATTTCAAATAGCACAATGTTTAAAATTGAAACATAAAATGTCTTTAAGATCTCTTTAAGACGTTTAAGATATAACATAAATCTTTAAGACGTTTTATGCTTCGGACATGTATCAAATTTGTGCTGTCTAGAATACAGGATAGAGAAAACGATAAAACAACGAAAAATTGTATTTACTTAATTATTGTAATACGCGGGTTGTTCGATAAGTCTGATAAATCTTTATGAAATGGTGCCACAATCCATTTGATGATATGACACCTGGAAAGTATTACTTTTCAAACCCTTCCAGGTTAAATTTTAGCCAGAATTAATGCATTATTCACGTACTGTAATCGTTTAAAACGAATGAGAAATTTAATAGTTGCCGCATACAAAAATGGAAAAAACCTATTTCCGCAAAATTACAAAATTAGGCTTGAATAGTATTATTTGTTTTGTCTCTCGGAAGCTGCTTGGGATCGCTCCGAGCTATTTCCCCTCCAATAGTATAAGCTCTATGAATGCTATGACAGTCCGCCATATTCTTAGTTTTACAAACGCATGCGCAGAATATATCTCTACACATACATACTATTACATACATATATACGTATGATCTGTGACAGTCAATACTTCTAACTTTTCCCGCAAGGCGTGATGGCACTAAAATCACATCTGCCGGATTTTCTATGAGTTTTCCTACCATGTTTCAAGTCCACTTTTTTCGTGACTGGCCGCTTGAGTTTGATCTCGTTCTTATTACTCCGTGACTGAACTCTGTAAAAAATTTTTACTAGATATAGACACAACAGAGATACCAACAGCGTTAGGGCTGTGTGGTTCAGTGACAGAACGAAAGTCTACCAAATCGGAGAGAACTCGGGGGAGAGAACAGGCCTGGGATCGAGACAAGGAGCGCCCTGATATTTTTCTCTGTTGTCCTCAATTATTTACACCTTCGTTTGCTCGTACTATTATATATCGCTATTATAGTTATACTGTGGTTATGTCATACAATACATGGGTTGCATTCGGTTTGCACACTTATACGTAAAGCGCTCATGCTTGTAAGCTATACTTTGTTTTTGGTGTTCAATTTGATTTGTCAGTGCTCACATTAAATAAGTAAAGTTCATTTTGTCGTTCATTTTGGCTATTAAGCATTAAGCTTAAGCACGTAATTGATAATTGACCGTAAATTCTTATATATTAAAAGTAAAAATTTACGAAATTTTAATATCTGTTTAAAATAGTATCAATGAGATATTTGCTTATAGCGAATAAAAATTTATTCAATAAAAAATAATACTTTGATTTAAGTATTATTTCTTAAAATAAATATTTATTTACTATAAGCAAATGTTCCATTGGTACTATTTAAACAAATATTACAATTTTGTAAATTTTTTTCAATGTAATCTTTTTTGTCTTATAACTTCTTGTTTCCTTTCACCGAAGGTGCATTCAAGTCATGGTACTTCATCGGGAGTTCGAGATCGTGTATATATTCTCAGTTTGTGCATTTTCTAACTCAACCAAACTCAACTAGAACTTTATCTGTTAATGTCATCTTTGTATGAGTAAATTCTTTTTCTTATTTATTGATGAAAATTTAAACATCCAATTCCTTGTTGGTGAATAATGGTCCTTTTTTTTATTAGCGCAAAATCGGGAAACATTTGTAGACATAGTATACAAGTATAAAGTAAAGGATAAATTAGAACCGTTATCTAAATGTTTATAAAATTTCATGCAATGATTGCGAAGCTAGTTACGTAGGCCAGACAAAAAAAAAGTTGAAAAGATTAGTTGACAAGATTACAAGAACACATTTCGGATATCAGTAAAAAGATAGGTTCTCTTTCTGTGATTACGGAACATCGTCTTAATTATCATCATCGTCTTAATCATAATCATAATTTTAACTGGAAAGACGTAAAAATTTTGGACAGAGCTTTCTTACAATGAAGATTGATTTCCGAGATGATCTATATAAAGAGACAAAAAATAAGTTTAAACAAACAAAATGATACAGAGTCTCTACCGGATTCTTATCAAAATATTCTACAGTCTCTTTCTCTTTCATAGTT